TTGCTTACCCCAACGCGAAAGAAAAAATTGGGGTTTTCTCGACTTGCAATGGGATTGACGGGGTGTAATCACCCTTAAACCATTAAAAAATTCATAGCAAGGACGTGGATCAGAAGAGCACCTTCATACTTAGCAACAAAATTGCTTACCCCAACGTGAAAGAAAAAATTGGGGTTCTTTCGACTTGCAATGGGATTCACGGGGTGCAATCAACCCTTAAAGCATTAAAAAATTCATAGCAAGGTCTTGGGTCAGAAGAGGACATTCATACTTAGCAACAAAATTGCTTACCCCAACGCGAAAGAAAAAATGGAGGTTTCATCGACTTGCAATGGGATTCACGGGGTGTAATCAACCCTTAAAGCATTAAAAAATTCATAGCAAGGACGTGGATCAGAATAGCACCTTCATACTTAGCAACAAAATTGCTTACCCCAACGCGAAAGAAAAAATTGGGGTTTCACTGACTTGCAATGGGATTCACGGGGTGTAATCAACCCTTAAAGCATTAAAAAATTCATAGCAACGGCGTGGATCAGAAGAGCACATCCATACTTGGCAGAAAATTGCTTACCCCAACGCGAAAGAGAAAATTGGGGATTCATCGACTTCTAATGGGATTCACGGGGTGTAATCAACCCTTAAAGCATTAAAAAATTCATAGCAAGGGCGTGGATCAGAAGAGCACCTTCATACTTAGCAACAAAATTGCTTACCCCAACGCGAAAGAAAAAATTGAGGTTTCCTCGACTTGCAATGGGATTGACGGGGTGTAATCACCCTTAAACCATTAAAAAATTCATAGCAAGGACGTGGATCAGAAGAGCACCTTCATACTTAGCAACAAAATTGCTTACCCCAACGTGAAAGAAAAAATTGGGGTTCTTTCGACTTGCAATGGGATTCACGGGGTGCAATCAACCCTTAAAGCATTAAAAAATTCATAGCAAGGTCTTGGGTCAGAAGAGGACATTCATACTTAGCAACAAAATTGCTTACCCCAACGCGAAAGAAAAAATGGAGGTTTCATCGACTTGCAATGGGATTCACGGGGTGTAATCAACCCTTAAAGCATTAAAAAATTCATAGCAAGGACGTGGATCAGAATAGCACCTTCATACTTAGCAACAAAATTGCTTACCCCAACGCGAAAGAAAAAATTGGGGTTTCACTGACTTGCAATGGGATTCACGGGGTGTAATCAACCCTTAAAGCATTAAAAAATTCATAGCAACGGCGTGGATCAGAAGAGCACATCCATACTTGGCAGAAAATTGCTTACCCCAACGCGAAAGAGAAAATTGGGGATTCATCGACTTCTAATGGGATTCACGGGGTGTAATCAACCCTTAAAGCATTAAAAAATTCATAGCAAGGGCGTGGATCAGAAGAGCACCTTCATACTTAGCAACAAAATTGCTTACCCCAACGCGAAAGAAAAAATTGAGGTTTCACTGACTTGCAATGGGATTCACGGGGTGTAATCAACCCTTAAAGCATTAAAAAATTCATAGCAAGGACGTGGATCAGAATAGCACCTTCATACTTAGCAACAAAATTGCTTACCCCAACGCGAAAGAAAAAATTGGGGTTTCACTGACTTGCAATGGGATTCACGGGGTGTAATCAACCCTTAAAGCATTAAAAAATTCATAGCAACGGCGTGGATCAGAAGAGCACATCCATACTTGGCAGAAAATTGCTTACCCCAACGCGAAAGAGAAAATTGGGGATTCATCGACTTCTAATGGGATTCACGGGGTGTAATCAACCCTTAAAGCATTAAAAAATTCATAGCAAGGGCGTGGATCAGAAGAGCACCTTCATACTTAGCAACAAAATTGCTTACCCCAACGCGAAAGAAAAAATTGAGGTTTCACTGACTTGCAATGGGATTCACGGGGTGTAATCAACCCTTAAAGCATTAAAAAATTCATAGCAAGGGTGTGCCCAGAAGAACACATTCATACTTAGAAAACAAATTGCCTACCCCAACGCGAAAAAAAAAATGGGGTTTTATCGACTTGCAATGGGATTCAAGGGGTGTAATCAACCCTTAAAGCATTAACAAATTCATAGCAAGGGCGTGGATCAGAAGAGCACATTAATAGTTAGCCACAAAATTGTTTACCCCAACGCGAAAGAAAAAATTGAGGTTTCATCGACTTGCAATGGGATTCACGGGGTGTAATCAATCCTTAAAGATTTAAAAAACTTATAGCATATGAATAGCACATTCATATTAGCAACCATATTGCTTAGGTTGTTGTAAGCAACTTTATTGCTAAGTGTGAATATGCCCTTTTGGACATATGAAAATCTTTAGTAGCGTAATTCCGCACGCCTACGGTCATTCGGGTATGTTGAAGTTTTTAGAGGCTGCGATTTTCTGCTATTTACACGGAGGTGGAGTCTGCTTAACCAAGACGAGCAGGGACCACTTCCTTCATCCCCTCTTATCAGAATTAATAAAAATACTTCGTCCAAAAAGATCGTCCCTTCTTCAACCATGACAGAAATTAACCTCTTTGACGTTTCAAACAGAATTTAATTAGATTGTACCTTCTATTTTGCAAAACTCTACAGTTCCCATAGAGCACTGATACCCAATCGCCGATTGCATTTTGTAGATGGATTTTTCAGTTTATTTTATGTGTGTAAAATCAATTCATTCAATTTCATGGTTAAAATACAAATGCCAATAGATAAACAGCGCTGTATTGTTTAACAAGTTGGAGAGGAGATATCTAGTTGGCCTCCTTGATCTACGTATTAAGGCTAAAAGGTCATCTTAGAATAATAGTAGGCAGATCCGGCTGTTGTTTGTATGCGAGCACCTCATAGTTAGTGGTGAAGCTTTTGGTATTTCCTTTTCGGACAACGTACAAACCATCACTTCTACTATCGGCATTCACCTTCCCTACCAAAACCTCCCCAAAAGCCCGAATCCTTCCGACATACGTCGATACGTTCGGTTCGTACCCTGCCCTAAATAAAAATTTGCTGGGAATTGTCTTGATGTCTTTGGTGTTCGTGCGTATCCACTCGAACTGATCTGGGGCATCCGTACAAAAGATCTGAGGAAGAGACAATGAAAATGTTTTCCTTAAAAGCTGGTACCTTTACCTTAACATTTTCTGTACCATGTTGTTCCCTCCCACCGTGTTCGTAGTATGCTGTCTTGTCGTTCTCGTAAATGGTTGCTGGAATTAACATGTCGCTCTGTGCAAGGCTTGTCCTATATAAACTGGCCTGTCGTACATGTCTACACCGGCAGGAAAGGCGTCTTCTGGAATTGTCCCATCGAACTCTCTCCAATAGAAACCTGGAAACCGTACCTAAGTAAAGTCAGTGTTATTAAAAATTAGTCATTACCAAGAGCATTTCCCTGTGACAGAAAAATGTTAAAAACAACAAACGAAGCGATTATAAAACATAATGGCAGAGCTTCATGCACCAACTTGCGTGTACTTTTGCATTTCTCCCTTATATTGGAGCTACCCCCCCCCCCTTTTTTTGACCATATTATTTTCGATCGATCTATTTTATTTGTGACCCGTGTGGTTCCTGACAGATAACAGCTGTGTTTATCATTAGACAAATTACCTAATGCTATTTGTCTCGAGGATGTCATCGCGTTAGCAACGTGTATTTACTTGACTCGGCCGTAAACCTTATGTAACCCTTAAAATATCCCATAATATACCAATCTAATTATCTTAAACAGTAATACAAAATTACAACAATTTGGAAATTTATATTTTTGGTTTTTGATAAATTTTTTTATGATTTCCTTGAACTCTCTTTAAAATTTATTCTATTATCGAATTTGTTTCAAATTTTCTAAAAATTACATGAAAATGTAACATTTTTCTTTTGAATTTGGAGTCTTTAGTTAACTACGGGTGCATCGGTTATGCTAAAAGATTTTCAAATTTTCTTTCTTCCAAATCATATTTCGGGCAAAAATCGCACGCATAGGCAAAGTACAAGTAAAACATGTAAGGCGACGCTTATCTTAATTTAAGTTAGATGTCGACACCAAGAAGTGAGCTCAGCCGTAGAGCTCGATATATAAATTAGTTGATTAATGCCTGAAGGGCCTCGCTCTACTCGTAATCTTTTTCTATAATATAACCAGGTACGGTACATAATTGGCCAGCCTCTTTAGGAGGAAGTGGCGATCTCAAACAACATTCGCGTTTCAAACTCGATTATAACTTAACCGAGTTTCCTTTGTTGAGGATCGAATCTTGATATTAAATCACCTTCATGACCAGTTACACAGCAAAATGGCCGCTCGTTATCAGCAGGTGGAAAAATATGTCAAAAATGTCGACACTGACAGGAGATGGTGAGCTTAATCCAAGGTTACCACACTAATATGTTGCACAGAAATTGTAGGTACAGTAAAACGGATCCGGAATTTCTACTGGTACTTAAAATTAAAATTGAACTGGTTTTTTAACTAACATTGAAACCCTAAAAGAAATCAAAGGTAACCTCCTTCCTTGATAACCTAAAATTTACATTCCTCTTAAATAGAAGAGCGAATCATAGATGAATGCAACAATAGTTGATGGAAATTGCAGTCACCCGAACGATAAGATAGAAAACAAATTATATCCACATTATAGGAATTCAATTAATTACTTCACAATACCGAAATTATGAATCCAGCCGCCAGAGATCAGTATATATGGACGATGGCAATTAAAATTCCATGCGTTCTAACTCACGCTTCCGCTGTTTGTTTAAAAGAATTGTAACTCGATACGGTTTACGACGGAAAGAGGAAGATGAAGGTCCGCACCCAAAAATCTGCGCTGTTCAATTTCCAACAACAGATGGAGCTATCTACTAAATTGGTTTAAAAAGGTACGTGGATATCTCAACAAGTAATAAACTGTAAACAATAATAATGCTTTGTGATGGAGAAAATAAATCGTTACCTTCCCACAGTTTTGATAATGAGTAAGGCGGAAAGTCGGTTGTTGGTAAAAACAGTTCCTGTAATTACGAGTATAAAAGGTGAAACTCATTTTTAACCCCCCCCCTCCTCCAACGACCCACTGATCTTGACAAAGAATCGTAGAGAAACGTTATTACCCTGAAAAGCGGACCGGGTGTTCTTCGCCCTCTTACATGGCACCATTAGAGACGTGCGTACGCAAAATGGTCGTCACGTTCCCAAACAACATCTCAAGAAACAAATGCTCACAAAGTGCTCACCTGACCGAAGTTCATTGTAGGAGCGTGCCTCTGGGTCAAGGTTGGGTCACGAGAGGTGGATAGTTTGGAGGTAACTGTTGGTGCAGGTTGACCCTTTTGGACTAGCCTGACCATAATACATAATACGTAATACGTAATACGTAATACGTGATACGTAATACGTGATACGTAATACGTGATACGTAATACGTAATACGTAGTACGTTAGTACGTAATACGCAATACGTAACACATAGCACATAAAACATAACACATAACGCGTACCGCATAACGCATAAAGCATAACGCATAACGCATAACCCATAATACATAATAATACATAATACTTAATACTTAATACTTAATACATAATACATAATACACAATACACAATACGCAATACGCAATACGCAATACGCAATACGCAATACGCAATACGCCATACGCAATACGCAATACGCAATACGCAATACACAATACACAATACACAATACACAATACACAATACACAATACACAATACATAATACATAATACATAATAAATAAATAAAATCAGAAAAATAGTTGAGCAATTCAGCAACTCAAATCAACAGCTTTTTCCTATAAAAAAGGCAAAGACATGGACACAGGGACAGACGGACAGGTATATTTCTCTTTTTAAGATCCATTACTACAAAAATTTCAGCTCGGCAGCCTTTTTCATTTAAAATAAGTTGAATATTTTTATAGGCCATCTGTTACCACTATTTTACATTGTGCGGGATCCCGTTAACGGATTTTATTTTATTTAATTCTGTCCCACATTTTTTTGGTTTTTGATATGACCGAATAGTTTCTGAGTACAGTCCTGTCTAGGTAAATCAATATGCTTGAGGCATCGGAGGACGCGACCAGAGTTGTCACCTTCCGTCACGTAGACGACGTAGTTTTGATAGACCTGTCAATTTGGATGTCTTGGAATTTCATTGGATGAAAAGGAGTTAAGTCATTGGCGGATCATGCTCGCGTGATCGACGGGCGTAAATGAAAAAAAAAGTACTTAGAATTAAGTCGTTAGCGAGAAGTCGTGAGGAATGCGCGTGAGGCCATGAGAGAATTCACGTTGAGCGGGTTTTAGAAATCCAGAAGTAACAACGAACCTCATTTCAAAAATGTTAAACATTTCTAAGGTTTCGAAAGCAGACCGGAGCATACAAAACAGACATTGCCCACTGAATCTAATTACAGGAAGTTATACAATTCTAGTCGTGGTTAGTTAATGTCATACATTCTGCCACCATGTTTCTTATACTCACGTTTGCTGTTTCAACGTTCTCCTGGCACATGAAAGTGCTACAGGTAACCGTAGATATTTTAAAAGCCAATGACTTTATCTACGATTACAGGTTACTACTGGAGGGACTATAATGGAGTCGTTCCACCAGACGCTTTTATTGCAACTCGAGACGACTACAACAACCCAATTTACATAGGCCAAGTTTTGCACAGTGACAAATTAATTCCTGCAAAAATTTTGCACAACGATAAGGCGGCATACTACGAATTCGGCGACAAGGAACACGAGAAGAAGGAAAACGTTAAGGTAAAACTTGCCGCTTTAAAAAAGATCGTCAAGCTCATTGCGCTTTTCGCAGATCTTTTGTACGACCGAGCCGGAGCAGTTCGAGTGGATACCCACGAGTTCCCAAGAGCTCAATACCATTACTGGTAAATTTTTGGTTAAGGGTGGGTATGAGCCGAACGCTGTGACGTACATCGGTAGGGTTAAGAGCGCCGGGGAGCCTCTGATAGGAAAGGTGATGGCCGATAGATCAAAGGATGTGGTGTACGTTACCCAAAATGGAAAGTCTCACAGCTTCCCGACCTATGAGGTGCTTTCGTACCAAAAAAAGAAACTGCATGGCCAGCACACTACTATTGTGGTGAAAACCATAGACCAGACGGGGCAATTGGTTTAGGTTCCAAATTAAAGCACGATTTTTGAACAATTAGTGTTACTGATCTCCCTTCCCCACTCTCTCCGTTCGTTCGTCAAGACCTACTTGAATTAATGACTTAGGTTATCACCCCCCTCCCCCTTGTAGGTTACCTTGAGAAAAATTAACAGATCAAAAAAAACAACAAACTCTACTCGTGACGATAAAGAAGGCAAAAAGATAATAGACTAACTTACGACAAATAAAGTGCAAAAAATCCTTCCAAAATTGAGCGTTTACCTTGTAATGATCTTATAGCCTCCTGCGGGAATGCCAAAATAACATGGCTGCCTATTTGAATATTCTCGCTTAGGTTTCCCGCGAGAATATGTCACTCGGGGGCCACTCCGAGTGCACTAAGATCGTGATCGTCATTTAGGACACCTAAGTTGTGTAATAACTGGGTTCTCGCAGGCATTGAGGGCGTTTTATGGGTAAGGAACACCAAAAGCAATAGCTGATTAAGATTATTTTGAAGCTAATACCAATATCAATACGGCGCCCCTGCAGAGGGTCTTAAGTGGCTCTACAGGGTGTTTTTTTGGGAGCTTTAGTTAAAAGTTTCTGGGAAAGTAAAATAGGTAGGTTTTTGAAAATTTGTACTTAGGAGTTACTCTGAAGGCCGAATCGATGTAAAATATTTTCAATATGGCCGCACTTCCGGAAACACCGGAAGTAGATAGTAACTTCGTTATTTTAAATGGCAACCCCTATTTTTTATTGCTTTTTTGGATTCTACGTGAAATTTCACTTCTTTTGATACCCATATGTCGATATCTACCATTTATGGTTTTTTAAGTTATTTTGACTTTAAGAAAAAAAATGGCGGATGCAGATGGTACCTTGATAATTGATTACTTGCAAACGGTTGTAGTCATGGCAACCTATTTTTATCAGTGCATAGAGAATGAATAGGGCTTTCTTTTAGTGCACTTAAAAAAAAGTTAAGTTGCGTATGACCGCCCCTATGGATACACAAATTTATGAAACTTCAAAGACTAAAAACTCAGTTTTTTTTAATGGAATGACCATGTTCTTACTATTCCATGAGATAGAGAATCGAAATGGGCATATTTTGACAATACATGTTTCCTATAGTTTCTGACTTATTCCCATTTTATTGAATTGACACTATTTTTTTCGGATTTTCTTTTTAGTAGTCGGCCATGATTCTATAACAATTGAATTTTAAACAAATCTAGTGACACTAATCCATCACCCACTGTTATAGGTTAACATAGTTTTTCAAAAATCGAAAAATGACTCGCAGTGGTTTCACCTATTTTGGAATTTAATTGTTATTTATGGTGAAATGGGCAGAATCGCGGCGCGTGCTTTCCGTACATTCATTCGAAAACTAGAACGAAATTGTATGAATTTTTGAAATTTTGTACCCCTAATGCACTACAAACCGTTGAAGCACAAGTTATACAAAAGCTCTACAAGAGAATATTTAAGAAAATGAATTGAATTGCAAATGCAAGATTAACAAAATAAATTCAATGCAAAATATAAAAAACTTTGTTGAAACATTTTTGGTATGGAATTGTTGCTAGAACAGATATCGCATTACCTCTCTTAATTTCCAGACTTATACGTTGTTTAAGAAATTCAGTTGAACGACTCTGTTTAGATTTTTCAAAAATTTTCTGTCCTATATCCTTATTAAATGAGTTATTTATTAATGAATTATTTAGACTAGAACAGAATCAGTGGTATTAAAGAATCCATTCCTTGATTTGTTTAAAATTCGATTGTTATAAAATCATGGCCAACTACTAAAAAGAAAATGCGAAAAAAAATGGCATCAATTCCGAGATCAATTCAATGAAATGGGAATAAATCAGAAACTGTTAAAGATAGCTATAGGAACATGTAATATCAAAATATGCCAATTTCGATTCTCTATCTCATGCAATATTAAGAACATGGTCATTCCATTTAAAAAAACTGAGTTTATAGACTTTGAAGTTTCTTAAATTTGGATCTCCATAGGTGCGGTTGTACGCAACTTAACTTTGTTTTAAGTACAGTAAAAGAAAGCCCTATTCATTCTCTATGCACTGATAAAAATGGGTTGCCATGACTATAACCTTTTTCAAGTAATCAATTATCAAGGTACCATCTGCATCCGCCATTTTTTTTCTTAAAGTCAAAATAACTTAAAAACCATAAATGGCAGATATGACATATGGGTATCAAAAGAACTGAAATTTCACGTAGAATCCAAACATGCAATAAAAAATAGGGGTTGCCATTTAAAATAACGAAGTTACTATCTACTTCCGGTGTTTCCGGAAGTGCGGCCATTTTGAAAATATTTTACATCGATTCGGCCTTCAGAGTAACACCTAAGTACAAATTTTCAAAATCCTACCTATTTTACTTTCCCAGAAACTTTTAACTAAAGCTCCCAAAAAAACACCCTGTATACTACTCCGGCATTTACCTTACGAATTAGGAAAACTGCAGGAAAACCTAATTCGGAGTAGTCCTATAATGAACAACATCCAATGTACAGCACTTTTGAGCCCTCTCGAAACCGTGGTAAATACTACATACACGCTATGAGTAACCAAAATGGAATCGAGCCATTCCCGAGGTATTACAACACATACATCAGACAAAACTAAGAGATATTAAATATGCCTCACCGGACGGTAGGATTACCCAGGCCTGTAGACGTCCTGTAGACGTGAGATAAAGTTGTTGGGTTTCGGAACGAGTGAAAATGTTAGTGTTAGGTTCACCAAGGCCCGTATAAACTTGAATAACTCTATGCCCTTTTCTGTAACCTGCTATACTTCAATGGGTGATATCTGGCGATGATTCCTGTCCTCAAGCTACCCTATCTGTAGCTCTTTAACTACTCTCTGAAAACCCTCTTGAAGCTTTGTTAAAATTCTCCTTGGGGACCCTAGAAATTTTCGTACATCCTTTGGAACCCCCTGTTGACCACCCCTTGGAACGCCTAAACAACATAGTTCGCTCGGCATTGGTGTACAAAATAGTGTAGTTTTTGTTCGTCGTTTGCCACCGTGGGCGTAGGGAGGCCAGTCTAAGGGAGGGCCCGAGCTATGCCGAACTCGCCTTTGGCTCGCTCCGAGATTGGTGTGGAAAAAAGTGTAGTTTTTGTTCGTCGTTTGCCACCGTGGACGTAGAGAGGCAAGTCTAAGGGAGGGTCCGATCTATGCCGAACTCGCCTTCGGCTCGCTCGGCATTGGTGTGCAAAAAAGTGTAGTGTATCTTTGGCCGTTGTTGAAAATCGTTTGCTACTGTGGACGTAAAGAGGCGAGTCTAAGGGAGAGCACGAGTAATGCCGAACTCGCCTTTGGCTTTGGCATTGGTGTGCAAAAAAGTGTAGTTTTTGTTCGTCGTTTGCCACCGTGCGCGTAGGGAGGTCAGTCTAAGGGAGGGCTCTAGCTATTCCGAACGCGCCTTTGGCTCGCTCCGGCATTGGTGTGCAAAAAAGTGTAGTTTTTGTTCGTCGTTTGCCACCGTGGACATAGGGAGGCCAGTCTAAGGGAGGGCCCGAGCTATGCCGAGCTAGCCTTTGACTCGCTCCGGGATTGGTGTGAAAAAAGTGTAGTTTTTGTTCGTCGTTTGCCACCGTGGACGTAAGGAGGCCAGTCTAAGGCAGGGCACGAGCTATGCCGAACTCGCCTTCGGCTGGCTCGGCATTGATGTGCAAAAAAGTGTAGTGTGTCTTTGCCTGTTGGGGAACGTCATCAGCCATCGTGGACGTAGAGAGGCGAATCTAGGAGAAGGCCCGAACTATGCCGAACTCGCCTTCGGCTCGCTCGGCATTGGTGTGTAAAAAACTGTAGTGTATCTTTGGCCATTGCTAAACGTCGTTTGCCACCGTAGACGTAGAGAAGCGCGTCTAAGAGAGGGCCCGAGCTATACCGAACTCACCTTCGGCTCGCTCGGCATTGGTGTGCAAAAAGTGTAATGTATCTTCGGCCATTGGTAACCGTCGTTTGCCACCGTGGACGTAGAGAGGCGATGAAGTGCCGACCTAGGGCACCCCTTTGTTTATCTTGAAATGGACTCGTCCATCAGTTTGACGTTTAGTTTTTTTTTTAATTGCGGAAAATTCTCATTTTAAGGAAAATAAAGACAATGCGCCTTTTCGTGGCGACAAAAGGCTTCCGACACATGCGCCAAAAAAGATTCACTGATGACGTCATCGGTGCAAGATTTAATGATTTTTTTGCAAATTTAAGGGTGAAGGAGCGAATAGACCAAATTTTGAGCATAGCACTGTCACTGTCACCTAAACTTTTCACGGACTGCTCGATTCCGTGGAGAAACTTGAGGCACCTCAAGCTCCCTGTAGGCGAGTCTTATAAGAATTGAATAGTTTGACGAGAATATCAAAAAGGATCTCCAGCCACTTGGCACTTGTGCAAGGATATCTTGTCTAGTGACCACCCAGTATTGTCTGTATTCCAAGATGTATTGTCAGGAACGCATTTCAGCGTGTTTGTTGGCGTCCATCGTTGGCTATTGTAGGCAATGCCCAAGAGAAACCACAATGAGGAACATGCGATAATTTTATTATAGGGAGCCGAAGTACGGACTATCACTGCTTGAACTCACCTCGTAAGTAAGATGTCGATGTCACCGCCAGAAGAAAACCTCAAAGCCTCAAAAATTGCAACTCGAGAATTTTGGAGATTCAGTTGCGCAAACTTGAAAAATCTGCGCGGTTCCTCGCTGTCTATAATCAGTGTTCGCGGTCTTGGAGTCAACGCGCCTCAGATAACAAGGGCAGCTCCAGGCTGAGGTATTATGCAACGATTATGCTTTTAACATCGCCTTTATGTCCTAGCATTGGAGTCATGATTACCTGTGCAGTAACCGCATTGAAGTTCACTACGGCAGTCGGAAGAGTCATGGCCGAATTTTTGGCGCTTAAAGCACTGCAAGATCCGGACATGGTTCGCGGTGCAGTAAAGCGACTGAGAATGAAACATCATTGGGATCGAGAGTGTCATCTGATGTTATGGGAAGTTATATTTTGGAAATTGTAATTTTTAAATGATGACAATCGATTCAAATTTCGTGGTTTAAATACAAAGCCCAATAAATAAACGAAGCTTTATTTTAAAATCAGTTGGATAAACGATAACTAGTTGACCTCGTTGACCTACGTATTAAGGCTAAAAGGTCACCTCACAATAATAGTAGAGTGTTGTTTGTATGTGAGCACATCATAGTTGGTGGTGAATGTTTTAGCTTTGCCTTTTCGAACAACGCGCAAGCCATCACTTCCACTTTCGGCATTCACCTTCCCTACCAAAACCTCCCCATAAGCTCGAATCCTACCAATATACGTCGATATGTTCGGTTCGTACCCCGCCCTAAATAAAAATTTGCTTGGAATTGTCTTGATGTCTTTGGTGTTCGTGCGTATCCACTCGAACTGATCTGGGGCATCCGTACAAAAGATCTGAGAAAGTGACAATAGAAATAAGTATATTCCTTAAAATCTGGTAACTTCACCTTAACATTTTCTGTTCCATGTTGTTCCCTTCCACCATGCTCGAAGTATGCTGTTTTGTCGTCCTCGTAAATGGTTGCGGGAATTAACATGTTGTTGTACAAGGCTTGTCCTATATAAATTGGCCTGTTGAACATGTCTACACCGGCAGGAAACGCGTCTTCTGGAATAGTTCCATCGAACTCTCTCCAATAGAAACCTGGAACCCGTACCTACGTAAAATCAGTGTAATTGAAATAGAGTTTCATTACCAAGAGCATTTCCCTGTGCCAGGAAAATGTTAAAAACAACAAACGAAGCGATTAGAAACATAATGGTAAAGGTTCATGCACTAACTCGCGTGTACTTTTGCATTTCTCCCTTATATTTGCCTTCTTTCTTTACCATATTATTGACCCGTGTTGTTTTTGACAGATAAGTGTTATTCTTAGACGTAATTACCTACTGCTATCTGTGCATAGCAAAGTGCATGTCCTTGACCCATTGCATAAGCGGCATGCAACCCTTTTAAAATAATATACCAATCTAATTATTCTAACAGTCCCTTTGGTGTTTCTTCTCCCTTGAAAGGTTCCACCCTGTATATACAACTTACGACGATACATACATGTTTGAGAGTTGGCAACCATGCAATTTTTAGGAGGGGAAAAGCTGCCTGCGCCATCCAGAGAGCAGGAACGTTGGTTTTTTGTTCTGGGCGTTTGGCATCTTGTCTTGAATGGCGGTCGTGAACGCGTCGCTCCATAAATGGTTGTTGTTATTTTGTGTTTTTTTAATGCAGGTAGTAATTTTTGCATTTCTTTATATCGTATTTGTGTTTTGTATGACGCATTATATATTTTTTTGTGTTTCAATCTTTGTTTTTGAAATTTACTTGGTTTAACCGCAATGCAGAATGACATGTTTAATACCGTTATCCTATTGTTCGTAATCGTTTACGTTTTTGGTGTAATGTTTGCTTAATTTATGTTTATTGATGTTGATTACTTGGTCTTGTCCCCGAAGTTACATTCATATCGGTTTTGATCATTTTATTTTAATATGTGGAAATTACCGATTCGTTAGATGTATGTACTGACTTGTTTGTTACTAACAATTTTCTCCATGAATGAAGCAGTCACGGTTAACCATCTGAAGTACGACACCTAATTCCGTGATTGTCTTCGACATTCAACTGTAGGCTCGAATCCCCGAAACCAGGGGCGGTTTACCTATCTTGCAGGAGTGGGATTACGTTAATCAAAGCTCTTCAGTTTAGAATCCATGTGCGATAAGTGAGTGGCCATTCAATAATTTCCACATATCTGGTTTTTAGTTGAATTTGCGTACAAGGCCATGTAATTTTCCATCTTGCTTTTAACAAAAGGACTTTATTGCAGCAGAGATGAGTCACATCCTGTGCATTTCACCCTTTCTTAGAATCTGCTTACCTGACCCATAATTCCCAAAACTTGTTTGTTTACCTCTTGAAGTTTACCTGCTACTTTTTGTGATTTTATAATTTTATGTTACGCATTCACATCATTACAAACAATTAATTTTACTACACAATTTAATATTAATTTGACGGCTGGTTTTTTTATTGGTAAGTTCTTTTTTCCCAGCCTATTTCTATTTCTATTCGGTGAACTACCATTTTCAAAGTTTTTTTTTTGCAATGTAATTTATTTGGACTTATATTTCCGAGCATTCACAATCTTAATAATTGCGATCATTATTAAACAATTTGAGTGTTTGATTTTACTTTCCTTGCCTACTGTGCTTCAGGTCAAAGCGTTGTCTACAACAAACGTAAGGGGCTCCTACCTTAGATGTTTTATCACGTGCCACTTTTCAAATTTAAGCGGGATCTTATTCAGTTTTGGAGGAAATAGTCATTTGGGTGGCCATTTTTAAACGTTGCTGGGTTGAATTTATTTCCGTGTTCTTGTAGTGTGAAGTTAGTGTAAAACCTGGGGGTTAAGTACACTACAATCTTTATCCTTAAACCTCGAGATGAATAATTTGATGTCACCTCGTGACTTGTGACTATCTTCAACCTTAATCTCTATACTCTAGCCTTGATCTCCAAACGTTGAGGAATCTGTCTTGAGCAATGACCATATAACGTTGTACCTTTGATAGTAAATGGTGTGTTTGGAATCCTTAGCCTTGAACCGTGAGAATTGAGCCTTGATGAGCCTTGACACTTGAACTTTATTCCACGAAATCTCAATCTCAGGTAAACCTTGAACCGTCGGTGGGTTTTGAGTCTAACGCCTTTTAAGTCTAGAATATCGATGTCTAAATCTCAAGTCTAACGTTGCAGACCTTTATTTTTAAGCTTTAGTACTGAATATTGACCTTTGGGTCTTGGGCCATGACACGAATTTTGAAACATTAACTTTTTGGGCGTCTAGCAATAAGCCCTTGAAATCGGATTTATGGCTCAGTGGTAGAGCATTGGGTTATAAATCCGGAAGTCGGGTGTTCGAACCTGGGTTGAGGTGAATTTTTCATCTGTGGCGGAGATGGAAATTACCTTAGACCAGTTCCGAGCATTCTACCGGCTACTCCGAATTAGGTTTTCCTGCAGTTTTCCTAATTCGTAAGGTAAATACCGGAGTAGTATAGACCATCTTAAGACCTTCTGCAGAGGCACCTCTAAAAAGCATTATGCGGGTCACTCTGTAATTGGGCGCAAGCCTGTTGAGGGCCCAAAACAAGAGAGGGATAATAAAATAAAATAAAAATAAAAATTAATCTTTTTAAGTTTAGAACGTTGCTGTCGGAAAATTCTAACCTGGAGTGTAGCGTTTTAGACCTTGACTTTTAACCGTAAACCCTTCACAATGAGCCTTGAGCATAATCGTTTGCCCTCGACCCTTGACCCTTGATCGAATTCAAATTTTGATTGCAAAACCTTAAACCATGAAGAAATCTTCAGCTTTTAATATTGATCTTTGAATCATGTGATATGAATCTTAAAACTTGAGCTTAAACCTGTGTCATTGTCGTCATTGACCACTGGGCTAACGCTTAACACTGAGTCTGAAATATAAACACCTAAACCTCGGTATTGACTCATGAGCCTTGTATTTCAAATTTAGAACTTTGAACGTTGACCCTTAAACCTTGAACTCTGAAACCTTGAACATTAACAACTTTGATAGGCGTGACTTGGAGATCTAGCCTTAGACATTGTGTAAACAATAAGCTGCTAGCCTTGAACCTTTAGCTTGGTAACTTGCGCTAAAAGGTATTATGCGGATAACTCAATTGGGCGAAAGCCTGTTGTCAATAAATAAATAAATAAATTTCGGTTTAATTCAAACCTTGCATTCTTTTGGGTATTTTGGAGTTTGACCCTGAAACACAGGAGAAATCCACTACGAACGTGCGAAAATATTTATTTTGCACAAAAAGAAATTAGGGCAGTTCCTCCCTCCAACGCCCTCTTCATTGCGGTGGCTTGCACTGCCGGCTGCATACCAGGCAGGCCATTTGTGCTGCTTGTCTTGTAGTGAATGCCCTCCAAATCCCTCAACTTGGGAATAGAGGCGAGACAAAGTGGGCGGGGAATCAAACTGGACCAAAGAGGCATAAATATGTAAAGAACTCGCAATCTTAGGAAAATGTGGCTGCGAAACACTGCTCCCTAAGGTTTTCTAACTGCCAACATCAGAAGTTTACTATAACTCTTTTTAATGATCTTAACTATTGCTCTTCTAGTATAAAATCAGTCACTTCAAATCATCACAGGCAGCCGCCCACTGGAAAACTGGTCCCTGTGAGGTGTACAAAAATTATGCTATTCTATTTTTCATCTCTATCGAGCCCATGAGAAAAATAGGACTACCTGTGACTGTTTTTATAGTAAACGACCTATTTTCAATGTTAAGTTAGGGAACATGTGTACAAAGTACTCACTATGGGCATATAAAAGCTTGTGACTGTATAGGGTGTCCCATTAATAATGGTCACAGGCTATATCTATGGAACCGTTAATTGCACAGCTCCAGGGAAAAAAATTGTTAACAAAAGGAGCCAAGAGAAATCGCTGGAAATTATTTTCAAGTTTCTATTTTCGCCGCTAGAGGGCGTACGATTCATGGTTAAGTAGAAAAATTACTTCTTTTCTAAAATATACCCAACAAACATGCATAAAAAATACATGCATATCAATTTTACATCATTTTCATGCAGCACATATTGCTCTTGCTCATAAAGTATGAGGGGTGTGGGAAGGGGAACATTTCTTTAAGGAATTGATTGTAACTAGATTTTCACAAAGTAGGGCTTGTTGGAAAGAGCTCTCTTCGTGAAATCAGATTTTATATGAATTGAGTCTTTTTAGTAAATGTGATGGGTGGTAGAGGGCGCGATGTAACATTAACATAAACTTTGCAGTTTTTTTTTGAAAATTTCAAATGGAACGATATAAGTATCATATGATATTATCAAATAAGATGAGAAAGTGAGAATATCAGTGAAAACCGCATTTTGATATCTGTTTTCTAAGCAGAGATATGGCGAAAATACGAACATTCGCAAATTTTAATTGCAATATTGATGCTCATTCAAGGTGGCATTGAAACAAAAGAAACGCGAAGTCAGTGGTGGGGTCTTCGTCGGGCCCGAGCCTACCCTAGGAATTGCTCCCTCCGTTCTCAGGGCCAGGATTAAAAAGAATGGGTAACCAGTCAATTCCGGGATCAGTGGCAACAAGCAACAGTACTTCAGTTCAAGGTCCTTTAAAAGGGCCCCTTGGCCAATCTTGGTTTTCTAAGTTTCTAAAACTGAATAGAAGCCAGATAACCGTTGTCCTGACGGGGCAGTGGATGGTCAACTATCAGCTGCATAGTATTGGGCTTGAAGGAGAGCTCCTTGGAGACAGTTACCTGGAACCGAGGAAGGTGAAAAGCAACTTAGGCTAAACGGGATCCTATACTTTCTCGGGAGGAATCTAGTTGCGCAGGAAGGGGGGGGGGGCACAATGGACCTTTGGTATGCCTGGTCGGGCTCCCCTTATGAATAGCATAGAATAGAAGGTTATTTAATAATCAGACCAAACATTTTTTCAAAACGTGATACAATTCTACTAGGGCACCCTGTATAAACAAATTCATTTAGTGGTACATGTCGGTATATAAAGTTACGTATCGATTTTGCAATGGTACACATGAAGATTTGAATGCACTTTGCTACGAAGTGAAGATCGAAAACACAATTATTTGACCTTAAAGATAAGTAGTCATTAACTTAGCGGTCGAAAAATACGGAGGGGTCATAAGTAGAACTACATAAATAGATCACGATCAAAAAATGGTAATAGGCCAATGCAATATAAGGTAGGACGCAAAAACACGCAAGTTAGTGTCGTACTTTTCGCCGCCATGTTTCTTATATTCGCGTTTGCCGTTTTTAGCACTTTCCTGGCACAAGGAAGTGCTACTGGTAACAGCAGATATTTTCAAAGCCACTATCTTTATCTACGATTACAGGTTACTATTGGAGAGACTACGATGGATTCATTCCACCAGATGCTTTCGTTGCAGCTCGAGATGATTATGGCAACCCAATTTACATCGGGCAAGTTTTGCACAGCGACAAATTAATTCCGGCAAAAATTTTGCACAACGATCGGGCCGCATACTACGAACTTGACAACAAGGAATATGAAAAGAAGGAAAACGTCAAGGTAAAACTTGCCGCTTAAAAAAATCATCAAGCTCATTGCACTTTTCGCAGATCTTTTGTACAAAAGATCCGGCGCAGTTCGAGTGGATACCCACCAGTTCCCAAGAGCTCAATACCATTACTGGTAAATTTTTAGTTAAGGGTGGCTATCAGCCAAACTCCTCGACCTACATCGGTAGGACTACGAGCGTTGGGGAGACTGTGCTAGGAAAGGTGATTGCCGATACGTCAAAGGATGCATTACACGTTACCCAAAAGGGAAAGTCACACAGCTTTACCACCTTTGAGGTGCTTTCGTGCAAACAAAAGGCAAAAAATGACCAAGTCACTACTATTGTAGTGAAAAGCGTTGACTGATGGGAAATGTCGTTTAGGTTCCAAATTAAAACACTCTTTCGGCCATTAGTTTTATTACTCATCAACCTTCCCCTCTCCGTCCTTTATTCGTCAAGACTTACTTTGTTAATGACTACTGTAACAGGCTTTTACAATAAAAGGAGTTTGGCAGGTTACAATGTTACATTGGAATCTTCCCAAGGGTAACACGACACATTTTTTGAATTTTGAAATGATGCAAATTCATTGCAATATTAAAAGTTACGAGCAAACCACCATTTTATTAATACAATTGTTTGGGGTTAACGAATGTCACCAAAAAATTAGAAGCGCTTGGTTAGATTATCACAAGTAGGAGAAAGCTTCACTGCGTAAAAATTCCAAAATTCCGCCGAATGACCTAATGCCGAGCCAACAACCGCAACCGAATAACACGATATATCGAAAAAGTACAAATTGATTTGGATTCTACGCACCCAAATTAATAAGAAAAAGTGTTTTCCCGAGAAATTTTGGTGTAGTCGATTTTTGGTAAAAAAGGAAGGTTATACACTGCCTTTTTTTGAGCCCCGAAAAAAAAATTGTCTCAGATCGACCCGGAAAAAAATTTTCTTATAGAATGTGGCCTGTAGAATCCATAATTTCAAACAGTTCCAAGATTGGGCTACTAGTTCAAAAGTTACAGCCCTTTGAATTTTTTTTCGAAATTGGTTTCTAGTCTATAACTTTTGATTGAGAAGTCTGATCGAAAAAGTACGAATTGATTTGGATTCTACGCACCCAAATTAATAAGAAAAAGTGTTTTCCCGAGAAATTTTGGTGTAGTCGATTTTTGGTAAAAAAGGAAGGTTATACACTGCCTTTTTTTGAGCCCCGAAAAAAAAATTGTCTCAGATCGACCCGGAAAAAAAATTTTCTTATAGAATGTGGCCTGTAGAATCCATAATTTCAAACAGTTCCAAGATTGGGCTACTAGTTCAAAAGTTACAGCCCTTTGAATTTTTTTTCGAAATTGGTTTCTAGCCTATAACTTTTGATTGAGAAGTCTGATCGAAAAAGTACGAATTGATTTGGATTCTACGCACCCAAATTAATAAGAAAAAGTGTTTTCCCGAGAAATTTTGGTGCAGTCGATTTTTGGTAAAAAAGGAAGGTTATACACTGCCTTTTTTTGGGCCCCGAAAAAAAAATTGACTCAGATCGTACCAGAAAAAAATTTTTCTTATAGAACGTGGCCTGTAGAATCCATAACTTCAAACGGTTCCAAGATTGGGCTACTAGTTCAAAAGTTACAGCCCTTTCAATTTTTTTTCAAAATTGGTTTCTAGTCTATAACTTTTGATTGAGAAGTCGAAAAAGTACGAATTGTTTTGGATTCTACGCACCAAAATTAATAGAAAAAGTGTTTTCCCGAGAAATTTTGGTGTAGTCGATTTTTGGTAAAAAAGGAAGGTTATACACTGCCTTTTTTTGATCCCCGAAAAAAAAATTGTCTCAGATCGACCGTGAAAAAAATTTTTCTTATGGAATGTGCCCTGTTGAATCCATAATTTCAAACAGTTTGAAGATTGGGCTACTAGTTCAAAAGTTACAGCCCTTTGAATTTTTTTTCGAAATTGGTTTCTAGTCTATAACTTTTGATTGAGAAGTCTGATCGAAAAAGTACGAATTGATTTGGATTCTACGCACCCAAATTAATAAGAAAAAGTGTTTTCCCGAGAAATTTTGGTGNTTTCTTATAGAATGTGGCCTGTAGAATCCATAATTTCAAACAGTTCCAAGATTGGGCTACTAGTTCAAAAGTTACAGCCCTTTGAATTTTTTTTCGAAATTGGTTTCTAGTCTATAACTTTTGATTGAGAAGTCTGATCGAAAAAGTACAAATTGATTTGGATTCTACGCACCCAAATTAATAAGAAAAAGTGTTTGCCCGAGAAATTTTGGTGTAGTCGATTTTTGGTAAAAATACATCTTCGTATTGATCTAAGCACTCTCTCTTCCTTATTTTCGTGTCCTGGATAAACTCTTGTATTTTAAACGAAACCCTAATGCGCAAGGGTGAAAATGGCTCAAAGTACAAGGATTAATATTCAAATATTTTCAAATTCAAGGCTCAGAAGTTCGTTTAGAACTAAACGCTGAAAGCTTAACGGCCCAGAGGTAGAGATTCAAGAGTAAGAGTTCAAAACTCGCTGCTGAAAGCTCATAGTTCAAAGCCTAAGGTTCATGGATCAATTCTGCAGGTTTAAGTATCATAGTACAAGGAGACATGTCAAGCTTTAACCCAAAACTTGGTTTACGGTCCAAGGCTAAAAGATCAAAACACAACCCTGAAGGGTCAGGAGAAGAAGATAAAGGTTCAAGCTTCGGGGACTCAAAGCTTAAGATTCAGTACTCCACGTTCGATGCCACACTCAAGCGGGAATCTCAAACTTAATGGTCAATGCGCAATGCTAAGGTCTCAAGTTTTAAAATCCAATGTTAGACAAGTACGCAAGATCAAAGGTTCAAAGGCGTCAGATTTCATACTACACGATTCATGTATCCGGGTTCCGGTTGAACGGTCTAACCCTCAAAGTTCGAGGATCAAAACGCAAGACTCAAGGTTTCAGGTACATTTTTATGGTTCAGTGTTTTCAAAACGCAATTCCTAAGGTTTAAGGTGCAATCTCGGGTGCAATGCTGACATTTTATGGGTCAAGACACGCACAACTGTGATTAAGAATCAGGGTTTAAGGCCCAAAGCACATTATTTAATTATTAGAATGATTCAATCAGTTTCGGCTGGTCAAGAATAGAAACCCACAATTCAAGGTTTAAGAAGAAGGGTTCAATGTAAGCAAGCCTTACAGTTAAAATAAAATAAAATAGAAAAGTCGCAGTTCAATCCACCTGTACCCCTTAATGAACTTTATTTTTTTGAATTTTTTTAAGTTGAATTTCGTTAGGGTAGGGCTGCTTATTTTTTTAATGCAACAAACTACAGATTTTCACAGGGAAACCATCGATTGAAAAAAACGACACAATTAAGGTAAAGTAATTTTTTGATTTGTATAAAAAATAACGATCGGTTCTTTTTGAGAATTTTATAGAAATTAATCAGAAAAATTCTTATTGTAGATTGACTTAATGGCACAAACTAACTATGAAATCAATTACAAAGTTTTGCATTTTTTGGCTTTTGAAATTGTATTATCAGTTTAAAAGAGAATATTCCTATAAAAGTGTCCAATTCTGTTAGGTATAAGAGAATGCTCTTTGATGTAACATTGTAATTGAAGTATTTTAGATAAATTTGTACTAGTTGGAGTGGTTGGGAAATTGCGGATATTCTTAAATTGCGTTAAACAATGTCGTTCGTCGTATCCAAATTAAAGGATAGCACTTCGAACTTTGTGCTATGATGCGTCGCCTGATTTTTAGTCACATATAAACCAGCGTGAACGGGTAAATTGTCGGCGAGCGCCTTTCCCACCAGCACTTCTCCATCCTTTCTAATCCTCCCTATATAAGTGGTACATCCAGGTTCATACCCGCCCTTCACCAGGTATTTGCCAGTGATGCTATTGATCGCTTCGTTACTCGTACTGATCCATTCGAAGAGTTCCGGATGTTCCGTACACAGGATCTGCAAGGTGACCGTTATACAAGGCCAATCCAATGCCATTACCTTAATGTTTTGTTTTACGCCGTACTCTTTACCGCCATATTCGTAGTAGGCCGTGTTGTCGTTATAGTAAAGTTTGGCAGGAATCAAGAATCTATCGTATACTTGCGCGATGTATATCGGTCTGCTGTTGATGTCTATGCCACCGGCGTAGGCGTCTGGCGGAATGCTTCCATCGAAATCTCTCCAGTAATACCCTGAAACAGAACCGTTTGGTGAAGAGTATTGGGAGCAAGATTCGATTACCAGGAGAAGCCCCTTGCGCCACAAAAGTGCTAACGCACAGAAGAACGGCTGTTACGAGGAGCATGGTTGTAGAGTAAGGATAAACGACTGCTACTAAAGTAGTTTTGGTTTGACCTTTACGTATTTATGCATATCTGTTTGTTTATACCGTACTAGCAGATAAGGTTATAAAGCAATATGTGTCTCATTATTAATGTGACCTTATATAGTCAGAAGTAGTGTATTTGACGTCATAGCGACATACTCTGCGGTGATCTTTTCGGTTTGGATAGATCTGACTCAAACGGATCTTCAAAAGGGCTGTTTGAATCGCTCGGAAGATTCCTTTTAATGAAAGTTAGTCAGGGGCGACGTGTTCTGGTAGAGATTGGTTTGAATCAGCAGTGATTTGGTGGCCCAAGTACCTCGTTGCAGTTCTCGAGGTACCCTTTTTTTTTAGTCGATGAGAGTTTGCCGTCTTGTTAGGATTGCCACTAGAGCTAAACCCTTTGATTCAGTTGGTCAGCTTTGCTTCGACTTTCTGGGCAATGGTAATGACTACCAGTAACGGTATGGCGGCAGTCGGAATGGGGTGGTATAGCGAAGCCGAATGTGATAGGCCGTTGGAGCGATTGTAGAGGGTGCGCCACCATCTATGAAGGTGCAGGCGAATATGATCAGTAGTCGGAGCCAGAGACCTGCTGGGAATCCTTGGTGGTTGTTGGTCAGTCGAAGGGATCTGGTGTCTTTGTGAAGAGTGACCACTAGTTCGGTCGTCGTGTTGATGACGACGAATGCTGCGGACGGTGGCGTAGAAAGTGGTACGTCGATCGGGGCGTTTGTCGTTCTTGTTGTAAGGAAAATCTATAACGTAAACACCTGTAATAAGTGTTCCTACGTTAGATGTCTCATAAAGTGAACTTTTTTTATATCCCCTCTATTTTGTGTTCCTCCTTGTCTCTTATAAATGACTGAATTTGTATTTCACCGAAACACTTTTTCCCGAGGTTACTAACCGACCAGCAACTCGCCAGATCTATTAATTTTGAGGTACTATCCGTCCATTCTGGTAGGTTAAATAAACCTGCGGTTTCCACGGTGAATAGTGCTCTGGGGTTTGTGCTTTAGGTCGGTGGACCTGATGCAAGCACAACAATTGTCATCGTCCTCCGTT